GCCAAAACCAGAAATCTAAGACATTTTTCTCATTTACATATTCGTCATTTCTAGAAAAAGACTTGTGATCAATATTACGAAGAAGAACGTACTTTCGAACAAACAAATCCAATTTTAAAGTAACTTGAATCGTTGAATGCAATTTTTATGGTTTCTGGGGTATCTTAAAATCTAAGGTGGTAGATTGTAACATTCAATTATAAAATTTTGTGTAAAATGGCTGTAAACGTTAAGTCAGCAAAGTGCATTCTGAAAACTAACCTGAAGCATCATATTGTGGACAATTTCTTATATAAAGCATATTTTAAAACTTTAAAATCCAAAGAATAAACAACAACAAGTAACCTTCCATTTGTAAATTATGAACAAGAAGTTCCTGAGTTAAACGGTAATATATCGATTTCATCGAATGTAAAATCATAAAAACACATATTCTGAAGAAAAAAAATCACATTAAATGTGTATGTTTCACTTTGCGTGAAAACTTGACGAAAACATCAAAGTTGTTGTTAAATAAGACCAAGAAATAGGAATCTTGAAAATTTCCGTTTAAGTGGCCGAACAGAACTTTGGTTGAGTATTGTAATGCAGGATAGAAAAATAAATTCTTGGTATAGTTCTATTTAGATATCATGATTATTGATCAAGAAAACTGCCACTTTTTTTTAACATATGCACGTGTGGTCTTTATATTTTAGTTGAACACTAAAATTGAGAATGGAAATGGGGAATGTGTCAAAGAGACAACAACCCGACCATAGAGCAGACAACAGCCGAAGGCCACCAATGGGTCTTCAATGCAGCGAGGAACTCCCGCACCCGGAGGCGTCCTTCAGCTGACCCCTAAACAAATATGTTTACTAGTTCAGTGATAATGGACGTCATACTAAACTCCAAATTATACACAAGAAACTAAAATTAAAATGATACAAGACTAACAAAGGCAAGAGGCTCCTGACTTGGGACAGGCGCAAAAATGCGGCGGGGTTAAACATGTTTTTTGATATCTCAACCCTCCCCCTATACCTCTAGCCAATGTAGAAAAAACAAACGCACAACAGTACGTACAGTAAAACTCAGTATAAGAGAAGTCCGAGTCCGATGTCAGAATAGGAAACAAAAGAAAATAAACAAAATGACAATAATACATAAATAACAACAGACTACTAGCAGTTACTGATATGCCAGCTCCAGACCTCAATTAAACTGATTGAAAGATTATGTCTTCATCATATGAAAATCAAGTACAATCCCTCCCGTTAGGGGTTTAGTATCATACCATCATAAAATATATGAGAAGAACATAACCCGTATCATGCCAACAACTGGTTTTAGAATAAATGTGTTTAATTCCGATGCAAAGACCTTATAAGTGAATCAATATTAAAGCCAAAATATGCAATCTTTAATGACCTGACAACAGTATCGTAACTATATCCCTTCTTAATAAGTCTGTTTAAAGGTTTTGTTAGCTTTTGAGGTGAATACTGACATTTTTGTGCTTTGTAAAGAATATTACCATAAAAGATTGGATGTGAAATACCAGAACGTATAAGATGTCTGCATGTTGAGTTATATTTACGAATGATGTCCTTATACCGATGATAAAATTTAGTAAATGTTTTGACTAGTTTATGATATCGAAAACCCTGGTGTAATAATTTTTCAGTAATACATAAATTTCTCTCGCTAAAATCTAATACGTTGTTACATACACGAGCGAATCGTACAAGTTGAGATAAATAAACACCATAAGATGGTGACAAGGGAACGTCACCATCTAAAAATGGATAATTAACGATAGGAAATGAAAAATCATCTCTTTTATCATAAATTTTTGTATTAAGCTTCCCGTTAATGATATAGATATCAAGATCGAGGAAAGGACAGTGGTCATTGTTAGTATTAGCTTTATTTAAAGTAAGTTCAACAGGATAAATTTCTTTAGTATACATACTGAAGTCGTCATTATTGAGAGCCAATATATCATCCAAATATCTAAAAGTATTGTTAAATTTTTTTATCAGATGTTGTTTCGATGGGTCTTTGCTGATTTTAGTCATAAATTGTAACTCATAACAATACAAAAAACAGGTCCGCAATAAGTGGTGCACAGTTAGTCCCCATTGGAATTCCGATAATGTTTATTTATCTCTTTATTTTTTTCTTATGCCATCGGTTTTATTATAGTTTTAGTCGTGAGACAACATAAATTTTATAGCACTTTGTCCGGATTTTAATCGCTGGTCCATATTTCCTACCCTACAATTTAACGAAATGATGCTTCTCGCAGTTACTGTTTTGTATCAAACAGCCGTTCTTTCACAAATTAATGTATTTTACAGTAACGGATAAGAAAGGATAATGATGGTGTATTACTCCATGGCAAAATATCACTACATGTCCCTGACACAACCAACGGAATAATACTTTTATTTCTGTTCTCTATCAATAAAAAACTGGGGTTTTTTTTGTTATCAAATGTTGTTGTTTTCCAAAATTGACGAACAATGAATTCATAAAAAATGTAAGTCATAAAATGTGAGAAATTCACATCCCGACTAACTGACAAGAAAAATATACGCATGATTTACTGCATTTTTCTAGCAGATCTCAGATACCTAATATACTCTTAAATAGAACCCCCCCAAAAAAAAACAATCACAAAAAGGCTAACCAGACCAAGGAAATGTGAATCCGACCTTTAAATCCCTGTTTGAACATATAATACCCAGTGGGGATATGGGTGGGGGCACTTACTATGCTAAGTGTGGAAGGAATGAGTCTCTGGAATAAGGAAATTTTTCAAGCTTAAAAATTATTAGTCTAGATTTAATATATGATAACATTGCTGAGTATATCATAAGTATTTGGAACTACTAAATCAAATGTTGGTATGTTTTAAGTATGCGATTAAAACCACATTGATGCATCAGAAATGTTTATTTTTTTTTACTGTCCATGAAATAGCGTAATAATAAAAAACAATATATATGATATGAAAAAAACTATATATATTTTTTATATTCAAATTATATGAAGAGGGTGGATGTATCAGCTGCTCATCCCTATTGCAAAGGGTTTAAAGTAACCCCTCCCCCTTGCTATAATACGTACATGTATGATGCACTTACGAAGTCAAAATTATTGTCATATCCGGTAATTACACTATAAGTGTATTCTTTGCTATGAAAAGGCAGGTACCATAGCTTTTCTACATAAGATATGTTATTCTTAAAAAATCTTAAACTAAAAGCACAATCGGTAGTTTGAAAAGATTGATTATTGTTGGTTGCTTAACGCCCAGTGGCAAATATTTCATGCATGTTCAGGAGACCAAATTGAAGGTCGGTGAATTTTGGACTGCCACTAGAAAATAAGGGTACATCGGATAGGGACAGAAATTTTGCCTTGCAACAGGCCACCTACGGACCCTTCAAAGAGTTGTCTTAAGGGTTCTTAACGTGTAAAGAGCCTGGCGCTCTCTTTACACGAGGCATCGGATTTAACATTTTCATTCAGACCTGACGTTGTTGCGAAATTTTACATCCCGCACAGTTTTGGCAAGGGTTTTACTGCCGGTCGGAAGATGACCTAAGTGACCATATTTCTATCCCCCATTCACCCTTTCTTTACCTTAAAGAACTATTATAGTAACGATCCTAGACTCGAAAGTGGTGTGTATTATTTCCTTTGGTGCAGTTAGTCAACATGCATTTTGCAAGAAATCACAACTTTATTGTCAATTTTAACGTCTTATGGGAATATGTTCGACGTTACTATTCAAAATGCATTGTCAAAAGTCGTCATCGAGCCAGTCGGACTAAAAACTTGTCAAAAGGAAAGTGAAGCTCTTTATCTAAGAACTGGATGCTTCTTTATGTACTTTTATTTGGCTATGATAGCGTCAATCGTAGCACATAATGTTGCCTTTGAGAGCACATGCACTGATTGTGTTACATTTTGTTTTAAATAAAACATCACTTTGAAACCCACTAGCTACTAATTGAATCTCGTGAAACATCAACGTAATGTAATTAATGCAATGTCTCTATACATCATCTGATTGTTTGCAATGCATGTTACTTATGCTTGTTTTGGGGGGAATTGTTTAAATATAAAAGCCAATTTGCAAAACACATAGTATTTTGGTGAATTATCTTTATGACATTTTATATCAGCAAATTAATTCACATTACCTTGACAATTAAATAAACTTTTGTTTGCAGTTTTCCCTCATGCATACAAAATATAATTTAAAGAGAGAGATAAAGAGAAAAAAACCTTTGCTAATTCAATTCCCTTTAAAATTCAAATTGACTATACACTGTTTGATAATTTCTAAATAACATTGATCAATAATTGAAACAAGTTATGTCTTCCAAGGCGGAAAATGTTGATTGAAAGCAACAAATATTCTGATGAAACACATATTTCTAATACCTTGCTTCAATTTTCTGTTTCAAGATCACACATTTTGTCCGTTTACTATACCGTCATTTACAACAATTTAGTTTTAAACTATACTTAGTTTTATGATAGTGTGCAGTTCTCATTAGTTGGCGCTTCGGTCGTTCAACGGAGCAAAACAGTGTGCTCCATATCAGGATGATCTATCAAAATTTGGAAAACGAACCAGTTCTAATACCATTAGTTTTAATCAATATTGAATGGCATTTTAGTTTTTTGTTATTTTCTTTAATGTATCATCAATGTTCAATTAGGATTGGACAACAATTGTTTTCATGTAAGAAGGTACCAAGGAGCAATCAAAAACCAAGAAAGAGGTCTGAAAACAAAAGGAAAATGGAAAAAAACTAACACAGCACAAAAAGATAAGATTAAACAAACCGAGTCACACCGAAACATGGGGTGCACTCAGGTGTTCCGGAAGGGTAACCGGTTCCTGTTCCAATAGCGACTCCAGTAAATCATTAATTCCTATCATTATTTTCAAATTAATAGGTGACTGAATGTTAAATCAAAAACACAACACGAGAGTCCTTAAATCACTTTAATATCTACATGTGAACAATTGTTATACATAGGTTACATCATTTCACACTACGTCGGATGATTTAATTCCGAAAATATCACATTTCCAATATCAAAACACAATGCGTTGTCATGAGTTTGTGCTAGTACTGGCTGGTAGACGTTTCTATTGAATATTTACTACAACCACGACAAAAAGTGGTCAGAAGATTATCTAAATAAACATGAAAATGCACATTTATTGAAGAGATGTATGAGAGTCTATAAGAAGGATGTTAAGGATGAGAATTAAAATGATTTATAATAAATACAAATGGAAAAATATACAATAGATGTAATCTTGATGTGTGTATGATATAGATAAAAATAATAGTATATCCCGAAAATATAGCAAAACCCTGCTTTATTTTCAGATATTTTTCTTGACAACAAAAAATGGACATCTAAGAGTGTATCATGACAACGATTCGACATTTTCTACCCATCTTGTGTCTCCTTTAGTTTGGTCTGAAATTTTGGATTAGTGCAGATGATTTGCTGTTAACTGCCGGATTTGAAGTGGCATCAAATGAAATCTAATACATGATTTCTGTGTATTCAATTATTACAGTCATTATTTAAAATTGTACACGAATAGACTAAAACACCATATATTTATAAAATGTTATACAAATATATGTATTTGGATTTCACATAAATTCTATAATAATAATCAATAAAATAAATGAATATTTATTAGAAAAAATATATGAAATCTATATGCTGAAACTATCTTCCTCGAAACACATACCTATAAAAGAGAAAAATAGAATGTATTAAGAATATAGTTGTAATCAGATATTTTATTGTACTGTGAATTATACAATTCAAACTCTAATGGAAACATATACTACACAAGGACAGTGGTCATCTTTATTATCATAGTATGTCGTTTATTCTGGACACTGACCTTTGTCTCTAGATTTTGATAATTAAATGTATATGTATTATTTATTTATCATTTTACATCAAAGAAAAAGAATTGAATGACAACAGGCATAATACCTGCAAATGAAGACAAGAGAACCAAATAATCTTAACACGTATGTAAGTTAGAAGTAATTCGCATAAATGCCAAAGTAAGAGTGCAACATGTACAAACAAGTCCACCAAGTCTCTATATCTAGAGTAAGATTTTTATAAATCGTCAAACAATTTTCTTACTTTTCTTCCCTATCATCTGTGGAAGTTTGAGGGAAATACGCTGAAAAGAGAGAACACACAGAGAGTTGGACAGACAGCGATATCCACGTCGCGTAAATACGTTTAAAAAATATTATTAAGTAGTATACAACCTGCCTAGCAGAACAAGGATGAACAGCAGTTGTGGTAATGACAAAACTAGATGTTTTTTTGTATTCACATCTCTAAACACATATTTGTAGTATCATTTATTGAGATACCACCAACGTTCCTAATTTCACCAAAAATGTATTTACTGAATTTTTTTTTACTAAATGACAAATCAAAAACTGGGAACAATTCATTTACTTCTGAATTTTGCTAATACTTAGAATTATACGTAACATAAGCGTTCATATTAAAAAAGTAACATTTTTCTTGTCATGTACTTAATAATATTCACACATGCACGATGAGGTTAATGCATATATCAAATTTTATTTGAGAAAAAGTTAAGAGAAAAAACCCACCTTTTTTATAAAATTAGCCTAGCACTGATAATCTACTGCCTCCTACTCCTCCACGTCTAAGTGATCTGCTTGTTCTTCCAAACCCTTGTAATTGATTTCCTCGTTGTATTCCAGCGAATGTAGAATCAGTTAATCTATTCTGACCTAATAAACTTCCAAATTGAGAACCTCCCAATGCATTCAGAGAAGATTGTTGAGAAAATAAATTCTGACCGCCGGTTCCAAAGTCGCTTAATTTTGATTGTTGAGTCATCTGTGTTAAACCTGTGTTTCCACCATTGACAAGTGCATTTGATGCAAACTGTCCAACGTTTGCAGGTGCTAGTGTTTGTTGTTGTTGGTTAAGAAATCCAACATTTCCCCTTTGCTGAAGAGCATTACCTCCTGAGAACTGTTGTAATGTCTGTCTTGTATTCCCAAATGATCCAAGATTCGATTGCTGTAATTGGGCTTGTTGTAAATTTGCTTGTGGTAGAATTGTCTGCGGTACACTTGTTTGTCTTCCAAACTGGAGACCAAAGTTATGTTGTCCTCTTCTTCTAGATAATAAGGAAGATAATCCCCCACCTCCTCCTCTTAGAGCATGCCCAATAGCTGCTTCAGGAATATCAACGTCAAGTGCTTGAAGGGTAAGCAGGTCATTTAAGCTTGACATCTGTGCAAGTGTTAATGAGAGGCAAGCAGCTATCGTTAAAATGCAAAACGCCGCCATTTCTGAAAAAAAAGTAAAATTTAATGAATATACATGAGTTTGTAACATAGGGGAATCTACTTCTGTATTTTTACAATTTGTTATACTGTATTCTTCTTCACGCAAATGTTTACTTTATTTCTATAGTTTTGTCCATTTCCGCAATTGTAGCACATGCATACCATGACGTCGTTTAATGCTTGTTTTGATATGCCTTACTTTAGACTGCAATATATTTGGCAAGTCGTATGTACTGAATTATTGCAAGTATAAAAATAATGCAGTTTTGAGGAGTCTTTAAAAGAATTGTATATTTTTTGCCAAAGATTTAGTGTATCCTTTTAAATATTAAAAAAACTTTACATCAAATAAATTTAAAATGAAACCGGCCTATCCTCAAAATCTATAAAACGATTCGATTTTTTCCCTTGAAATATCAATATGACATATTATACCTTACGTTTAAAATGTGATGGATCCAAAGGCAAAATGGGAGTATGTAAAATATGGTCGATACATTTATACACAAGAAAACATAAATATTGTGCATGTCAAATTTATTGGCAGTTACACGTATTAAAACATGTAACCCTGTCGGATAGAAGACTGGACATGATCACCATTGTCCATATATCTAACAATGCATTTAGTTCATGTCAGTATTAGCTAATAGTTATTACATCGTCATGTATTCAATATGGATGACAAAAATTGCATGGCCTTAAACTAACAATACTGTATCAACGGTTTTTTGTTGAACATTGTGAATGTTGGTGTTGTTTTTTTTTTTTTGTTTTTTTTTTCTTATATATATAATATTTTGCGATTAAAAGAGAAAACGATAGTTTTTATTTTATTTTCAGAAGCATTTTTCATTTGGTGTTTTTTTATAACTTTATTTGTACTTATAATTAATATGAAACAAAGTGCGACCTAACAGGAAAAGGCTCCGTTTTGATGGTCACGAATAAGGGAATGTGAAAGGAAAATATAACATAAACTAGTTGAACTGACAAATTATTCATTACACGAAGAAGTTGGATCTCCCTGACTATCTGCGCTTATTCAATAATATGTGATGTTACATAGCAACATATTCATCGATTGGGAACGATTAGGCATACTGTCGTGCCATCCGTACCTGACGTGTTTAAATCCTTATGCCGGATCATACGCTAGAATAATCAGAACTGTCCAAAATTGTACTAGAATAGAACTCTATGAAAATCTGTTTAAAGGTTAAAAAATCATTAAGATAGCAGGTACTATGATAAACCAGCTTCTATCAGAAACTGTTTTATAGGTGTCAGGAGAACTGATCCACACTGTATGTCACCACGGCTTATATATTAATATATTGTTATTGTTTGAAGAGTAAACTGAAAAAGTTATACTTATATGACATATTACATTATCGTTAGAGTTTGGAGGTTTTGTAATTATCCCGCTTATTCATGTTATTTCTACGGAAAAGTGGTCATTTGAGGGTATAAGAACAGTTTACTGCTGTCTACATTATGGCACCAAAGTATATTTTTGTGTGAAGTTACACTGAAAGGGGACATATTGTCAGTCATTTCATGTTATATGTGAGGAATATGAAAAAGATCTCTGAATTTCGTTATGATAAATACGCAAAAATGGTGATTGCCCATAACTTCCTAAAATACAGTCAAAGTCAAATTGACAGAAAAGCGAGGCCAATACCGTATGACAACACACAATCTCACTAAGTTTCGAAGCTTTATGTATCATTCTACGAAAAACCGAAAATGGCCAAAAACAATCCTAAAGTATGAAATATATCGGGCTAACGGTCTCATAGGTGCAGCGTTTACAAGGTTGTCGTTTTGCTACAAAAGGTAAAAGTCCCATAACACCCATAAAAATAGTAAAACTCATGATTGCATTATCATAGTACTATCAACTACTCATGATGACAAATCAATGCTACCTAATATGAAAATTCTAAGATGGTCTCCGAGAGGTAGCATCCGCAAGGTGACATTAATATGCATAAATAGATGAAAAATTGTCAAATGATAATAGATGTGTAGATCGTTTTCAAAGTGACAGTATCTTACAATAGCGGACATGACACAGTCAATGTCCTATAGCACCTGCAACAATTGTCAAATCAAAATGGCAGTCAAAAGGACATGAATTCAAACAGTTTTTTTTATAAAAGCTTTCGGGAAGACGGTCTTTTAAAAGTGGAATTCACAATGGAGATAATATGTCCAAGTCACATACCACCAGCAACAATTGTCAAATCGAAATGGCGGTATTGTATGGTAAACAATATTTTCAAGCCGTTTTAATTTTTAAATGTATGAATGGTCTAGAAGCTGATTATCTATCTAATAAATTTACTGCATGTGCTGATCTTTATAATTATTCGCTCAGGTCGACAACATCAGGACTGCTTCATGTACCAAGACATTATTCTGATTTTTTTTAAATAACATTTGATCTATAATGTATCTAAATTATTTGTTTCCTTAATATTATTTGGCAAATTATTTCAGGTAACAAGACCAGAATATTTAAATGTTATTCTAATAAAAAATCTGCTTTATAAAGTTAACTGTTTTATGTAATTTGTTTGTTTGTATTTTTTTCAATTTGTATTATTAGTTTTTGAAGGCCTTAGAGAAGATTAACATGTTATTGTTTCATAAGTTACTTTCGTCAAATAAAAAATCTTATTTATCTATCTATTTTAACTATACAAGATAATAAACAATCCTATAGCAACCGTTCTCAGATGAATGGCGTCCACAAAGTGTTATTTTCCTACAATAGGCCAAAATGGCCTAAATCCCATAACTGTACTAAAAAAACGTCAAATCGAAATTGTTACCAAATCATAATGGTCTGGTCAACTACACATGCGTCCACAAATAAAACTGCTCAAATAGAACAAAACAGTAAAGACCCATAACTTATGCGAAAAATAGCAAATACAAATGACAATTTAGTATTGGATGCATCACACAATGACAAACAAACTTATAAGGTATGGTATATTTTGGGTGTATAATCTTAAAGGAGTAGCGTTCAGAATACTGTATGCCATTATGCTACAATAGGGCTCAAACAATCAAAGTCCGATAACTCTCGTACAATGTATGCATAATTAGCGTTCCGTGATAATGTGTCATTATGCTATAATAGGTAAAATATTCCAAGTCCAATACCTCCAGTAAAAATTGTCAAGATAAAGAAAGTTCAACAACACATAATGAAAATATATTCCTATTATATATGAAAGGTTTCAAAGATGTAGCGTTCACATGGTGTCATTTTGCTACAATAGACAAAAATGGTCAAAGTCCCATAACTCTTGTAAAATATTATCAAATCAAAATTGTCATAATATCATAACGGTCTGATCAACTACATGTGACGATAAACTATCATCATCAGTTTAAGAGGAAGCTGAAGCCCGCCTCCGTGTGCGAGATATTCTCGCTGCATTGAAGACCCATTGGTGGTCTTGGGCTGTTTTCTGCTCTTTGGTCGGGTTGTTGTCTCTTTGACACAGTTCCCGTTTCCATACTCTATTCTACATCCTACAAAATTTCAAATCTTTCGGGCATATGGTCTTCGACGGTCTAAGAGAAGGAGAGTCCAGACTGTACCTTTATGATGAAATAGACCAATCAAAATAAATCTAAAGAAGCTTCACATGATGACAGTCGGTCATAGCGGGTACAAAAACTCGGGAAAACACTCAGGAGTAGGAGTGTTAAATAAATGTCAATATGCTACAAAATAATAATGTCCCATAACTTAAACAAACATTTTCCAATCAAGATGGCAGTATAACATGGTCAAGTGCACATGAAAAACACTACAATCTTACCAAGAATGAACGATTTCGGAAAAACTATATCAGTCAATTAGCGTATTACAGACAGACGTCAGACGGACGGACTAAGATATAATACATTACTTTGTATCCGCCGCGGTGCTTCGGGGGACAATAAGATCAGATGAATTATAATAATTAACATTAAATCATAACTGAGAAAAACTCAATCTTATTTAATTAACTTACTTGTCTTAGTCGGTTAATTCAACATGAAGGTGGAAAGACCTTTTGATTTTGTTCTGATTATTTTGCTTTGCCTCCGTCTTTTGTCCTGAAATGTCGCTTTTGTGTCACAGCATGTCGGTTTAAAATATTTGGAGTATAAAATCGAAAAGTTAATACGCTTTTTAAAACACTATGTTCAACCGAAGACTTTTTTATATGGGAATTATGTTTCCTGTTATCTCTCAGCAGCTGCAAAAGAGCCTCTTGTTTAACTTTTCAAAACTGGTCGTTACTTCTACATAATGATCTGTTTATTGGATCGAAGCGGTCCGAGTACATGTACTAGTATTAAGAGTTATTTTCCTTTTTGTGTTTGTCATCATTGGTAAGTTATTGTAACCGTAAGGCATATATACCTATAGACATAGAGTCTTTTGATATGATTTCTTTAGTCCGTAAGCAGAAAATTGAGGTCACAAGGTTAAAAGTATAGGTCATGTGTACTACATTTAGCATTTTGCTTGACATTGCAACTGCTCAGAAACTGTTACAAAAGTAAATTTAACAAACTTTTTGACAAACTTGTTGGGTAAATGAAACCTCAAGGATGATTTTCCTTGAAGAATTATGATTAATGACCCCAACAGACATAAGACATGGCCGCTACTGGTAAATACAATTGAAGAAAAAATCTTACAAGAAAGCACTGTAAGAGGACACTTACAAACAAGTATTAATCTAATGATTCTTTTACGACCTTTGTAAAAGATTATTGTTAATTAACCAACAAAAATCAAAAGATGGTTGCTTACACTTGTGTCAGTTAAGAAGACAAAATTTTCAATGAAAATGAATATGAAATTCAAACTCCAAAAAAAGCTAAATGATTCCAAATAGCATAGATTTGATATTAGAGGTGTATTTTTCAGTACTACATTTGAAGCATGCCCTTTCTAAACCAACTGACTTATCTATAATGAATTAGGGTTAATTCCAGATATAAGCGTAGTATAGATTTATAAGTAGTATCATAAAATACTTACAGTACTTTGTTCCAAACAAAATTGTATTATCGAAAAATGGCTTACTCTGTGCAGAGGTAGAATTTATATGTCTGCACATGCCTATTCGAAAGAGAATGCTTTATTCGGTTATTCAGATTTCGTTTATTTCATTGAATAAGGCTATATCATTTTCTAGTTTACCCTAAAATTGTTGCAGGTTGATAGCATGTGTTAAATTTTGAAATTATTAGAAACTAAGGTTTCAACTCCTTCAGGCAAAGTTAACCTTAGATGCATTTGACTAATTTTTTATGTCATTTTTGGTAATTTAGTTCTTCAACTGTTGGTTCTTATACATCCTTGGCTTTCAAATATTCGGCTTTGAGCGATTCTGACGAATGTAAATCAAGAAGAGCGCTTCGGACGTATGAAATTTATAACGTTGTTTTCATTTTTTTAACATTTGGAAACAATTTGTCCTATCAAATTCTAGTAAAAAAAGAAACGTTACACTCATTTCGTGTCATATAATTTACAAGACGACAACATTATTTGGTAACAATGAACAAATATTTCAAGAATCAACCTCTATAAAGATAAAGGCACAATTGAAGCCGGGTGCTCGGAGACCACACTGACGGCCTGATGCAGACGATTTCAGACATGAAGCTAAGAAATTAGTAAAAAGAAGTCAATTTCCGAAAACGACGTTACAACATTCCAGAACATACTCAAACGACCAAAATCGATAAGAGTACAACATAATTTTCAAATGTTCAGACACAAGATAATTTAAGTATGCACGAAGTTTTCGAAAATTAATAAAATCTGATGTAACATATCTTTTTTTTTTACTAGTAAATAATGTACGAATGTTTAAATACAAATTTCCACCTACTTTCCTTTTTTTTTTTTACTATTGCTTCTTTATCATATGCGAGAACTATTTTTTACTAAAGCATTTACGTAAAGGTATAGAAGAAAAACAAATGAGTGCATTTAATTTTATGCAGGGTATAATATAAACCTATATTTGTGCAATAAACAATTTATTTGTATGGCAAATTTAAACTACGAAGAATTAACTTTAGACCCTAACCTCAAATAGGATAATTGAAAATGGACAGACAAAAAACAAAACAATCAATAGCCTACAAATTAATATAACGAAAACAAAAGAATGAATGACACAAACCTATAGAAAATCCGTAGATCGGCGCGGGTTCAATTTATTTGGATAAAATATTGTTTATACACAATTAAACTTTGTTTGTCCTGTCCTAGTATTTCAAGAGATTTTTTTGTCTTATGTACAATCACCAATATGATTTTTTCGTATTTGTCTCGACCTCTGCTGGGTACGGGAATTACCTTGTTTAAGGTGTATTAACACGTTAAATGTTTATAACAAGCCAAATTATTCGAAACACCAAGGTTACTTTATCCCAGGGATAGATAGACTTAGTCATATATGGCACAGTTTCTGGGCGGTTTTCAACGCTCGTAAACTCCGTTTATCATTTGGTCTTCCGTCTGTTTTGATTCGAGCGCCACTGATGAGTCTAATGTATGCGTCTGACATACCAAATTAGAAGACTGGTATCTTTGATTTTTTTTTGTAGTTTTTACTTGTGTAATACCGTGTTTGAGATGTATTCTCCTTAATCATTTGCCAGTTATGGTGTGGTTGTTCATGAGATCATTTCGCATAGATTGTATACTTTTTCACAAAATCTTAATTGATTGAAGGCAAATTTTTTTTATTTAAAATTAATTGACTATTTAACCTTTAGTTAGTTTTTATTGTAATTATGTTGTTTGTAGTTATCATACAATTTTGTCAGGATATTGACGGTTGATATTTTAAGAATTGTTGGTCATTTTAAAATGTATGCCATTTACTGATTACTGCTGTGTGTATTTAAGTTACAGTATATGTGTTGCAGTTATCAATAAATATGAAAAAGTCGACACCGGGGGTCTTCTTGATCTTGCAATAAGGTCTGAGCTCTTTAGTTCACATTTCAAGATAAATAAACAACATGTCAACATAAAGAACAACAAGAAAACGTGAATGAGAGAGCAACCCAACGACACAAACGATTTAAAGTCATCTAGAGGTCAACATACAAGATCATACAATCTTTGACAATAGACTATACAATATGTCAACTTCTATATCGCTCTTAAAGGTTGTGAATGAATTAACAAAGGACTATCAATAGTCAATGGACGTTAAACAAAGAACAATTATTAATCATCCATTATAGAATCTTATTGACGACTTAATTAATTTATAATCTTACGAATTGGCAATGCATGATATTTTGCATATGAACTTTATGTTGTTTCAACTAACAGGTATGATTAAATCGAGCTCTAAAAGGTCCTTTTACCTGCCATCAGTTTCATCTCTTCCATTTATTTATGTGTGTGCACTTTTTTCTGTGGTGTTAAAACGTAGGAAAGCATTTTTGTACTAATCTTTTGTTACTTTGTTCATTGGACTTCGATCAAGGTATCCAGGTACTAAATGAATCAAGTTAACGTGAGAGAATCTGCTTCATATCGCTTCTTTTCCAACATAAAAATCAAGCAATTACTGATAGCTTCTAGGGGACGGACTAAACGTTTATGGTGAACAAGATGTCTTTTATTTCGTATTATTTATGTTTCCAATACGAAACAGTAGTTTATGATAGACCATAATTATTTGAAAACATGAATATCTCAATACGATTGTGAAGCTACTGAATCTTGGGTATTAGCATTGCTAATTCTCAATAGTAGTGTTAATTCAAAAAATCATGTAACTTTCAAAGACATAATTTAATTTCAATATATTACCAATTTAAATTGCTTTTTAATCAGTAAAACGATGATTTTTTTTTTGTATTATTTTATTATCTTTTTAACAAAAATACATATAACGATTTGTTGATGAAGTGTAGCTTTTACATTCCGGGAACGATTTCAGCGCTGCCACTCTATATTTTGGTTGAGACCAACACTATGTGAATATGTTCATCGGTTTAGTAACGTCTGTAGCCACCTGAAAACAGAAATTAATAAAGAAATAAATTTATTTTATATAAATTTGAAAACAAATTAATGTTAAAAGTATTGATATATTGTTTTGTTTTAAGTGTGTTCATAATTATAAATTGTACGATGTACAATATCATATGCGATTGAAATATTGCACAAATGAAATAAAATAAAATGTACAGAACTGGTTTCGTTCGAAGCGCTTTCCTGAATTTTTCTTAATCGGAAATATTCGGAACCAAAAATTGAATTCGGTAGGTGAACTTTTACGCAAATCCGTTCATTAAAAAAAGAGTGAAAGAATGACTCTTCAAACGGATTACGAAACATTTCAATAAATGCTCTACAGAATAAGTTTAGGATTTCCAAATAGTTTGGTCACGAGCATCACTGAAGAGATCTGATTTGTCAACACGTGCATCAAATTGGTAGCATCTAACAAAAGTACTTACCAAAGGGCTTGATAATTTTAACTCCTCCGAATTTTTTACCATATCCGCCATAGCTTTTTCTGAATCCTCCAATGTTCTTTCTAAATCCTCCAAAGCTCTTTCCGAACCCTCCATATCTTTTTCCATATCCTCCGTATCTTGGTCCGAAACTACCAAAGTTTCCTTTATATCCCCCAGATCTCTTTCCGTATCTACCAAATCCTTTACCAAAGGCTGGTCTGAATGTATTGAATCTCTTTCCGTATCCTCCAAATCCTTTATTAAAGACTGGTCCAAATACTCCTGATCCCTTTCCGAATCCACCAATTCCTTTATTAAAGACTGGTCTAAATACTCCTGATCCCTTTCCGAATCCACCAATTCCTTTATTAAAGACTGGTCCAAATACTCCTGATCCCTTTCCGAATCCACCAAATCCTTTACTTGAGACTGGTCCAAATGCCCCTTGTCCCTTTCTGAATCCACCAATGCTCTTTCCTTTTCCGCTAAATCCTTTAACAAAGTTTGGTGCGAAGGAAGCTTTCTTTCCGAATCCACCAAAGTTCTTTCCACTTGGGCTTCCAAAGCTGTTTCCTCCAACAATTTCTAATCCATTGCCGATGCCAATGTTGTTAAGTCCCCAGTCATTGCCATTGTCAATGCCGTTGTGTTCCCATTCATTACCGTTCTGTCCCCATTCATTACCGTTGTTTCCAAATTCATTACCGTTGTGGCCCCATTCGTTGCCGTTGTTTATTCCCCATTCTTGTCCGTTGTTCTGACCATTATGGCCCCATTCATTTCCGTTGTTCTGACCATTGTGGTCCCATACGTTTCCGTTGTCCTGACCATTGTGTCCCCAGCTGTTGCCATTGTCTAGTCCGTTGTGGCTCCATCCGTTGCTGTTGTCGTGAACATTATTTCCCCATCCGTTGCCATTGTCTTGTCCGTTATGACCCAATCCGTTGCCGTTATCGAGACCATTGTGTCCCCATACGTTTCCGATTTCATGTCCGATTTCTCCCCATTCGTTCCCATTTTCATGTCCGTTGTGTCCCAATCCGTTTCCATTATCATGTCCGTGGTGTCCCAATCCGTTTCCATTATCATGTCCGTTTTGATTCCATCCATTACCATTGTCATGACTGTTCTGAGACCATCCGTTTCCATTATCATGTCCGTTTTGACTCCATTCATGGCCATTATCAATACCGTTGTGTAACAGTCCGTTGCCATTGTCAAGTCCGTTTTGGTCCCATCCGTTGTCAAGTCCTTTTACACTTTTACCGCCAATTAAACCACCGATCGATCCACCATTCTTGCCATTGTTTACACCCAGATTAGCAAAGGAAACGGCCAAGCAAGCCAAGATAACTGTGAACTTCAGCATCTGAAAAAAAATTGAAAATCCGATGAATTTCTGAGTTCAAAATAATAATAAGCCGCGTACGTATTTGAAATGCGCTTCGGCGTAAAACATTATAAGCTAGGTATTTTTGATAAGGTTTTTTGTACATTATGTGTTTGTTAACATTTGACAGAGAGAAAAAAAATCCAAAGATGATTTTGTCGTTCATTTTAAAGCATTATTTTTGTTTTTTGTTTGTTTTTCGGATTGGTTATTATAACTGAAGCAATTGCATATTAATTATTTTCAAGTTTGTGATGTCTGATCAAATAATTCAAAAAGCATATACGGTCAAACATAAAGAAACATAAATCATAATTCTTGAATATTAACAACCTATTGCTTGAAACTAATGTTTCAAATCTGTCACGTATTTTAAAAGTATTATTGATAATTGAAAATACCATGAATTTTTGTCCTGCTGCTTTAATTTTCCACTTGATATTATCCAATTAATAACTGTCAAAATTTAATGATATACGCTGAATAAAGAACATTACAGATCATTACAATACGATAAATATAAACAATCGTGATAAACCACGTCTCAAATTTGTGTACGTTCTTCTTGGTGTTTTTATGTACACTTTGTTATTCCATCGATAAAGATGTCAAAAGGGGATGTTTTTTTTATCCTGTAAGGAATTAGGGAATATCTTATCAAAATTTAATAAAGTATAAAAGAAACAAGAAACGACTTGAATATAACCGTAAGTCAACGGCAAATAAATCGGGACGTACATGTTATTTAATTATGTACATGTATTTTGCTCAACCCCATTCTCGTTTAGTTTTGCAGCAACGTAACAATGAAATAAAGTTTGAAATGTAGACAGCATACATAATCACACGTTGAAAAAAGGTTAGTAGAATCAATTAAATTAGGTTTTCAAATAGTAATAATAAAACCAAATGTTTATATAGGCAAAAAAACTATATAAATTAGATTTATATATATAACCTTTTAGAAAATTTGTATTCTATGTACTGATAAATTTCAATGGATAATACTTAATTGTTCGATAATTTTTATATTAGCTTTTATTTAAAAAAAAGAAAAATATTTTCTGTAGAATTTTGGCTAGAATGTTTATTCTATTCGTTTTTAAAAAATACTCAACATTGGCCAACATTTATCTAAATAGTATTGAGCCATCTATAAACTTCCTTGGTTTGTCAAATACAACTAAACAGAAATCTACAAAGTGCCAGATTACACTTGAATTTTAGCAAAAGATTCAATGACTTTTTGAAAATGACCCTTCTAGAGAGATGAAACTATGCGATACCTCTTTACGAACAAATCCTTACTGTTCTTATGATAATGCGATTGTACTCAGGTATACTTACAGTGTAGTTCGTAGTTCAGTCTGATGATGGATGAAGTCTACTGAAGAATTATAACTCTATATATAGGTAAGGTCTACCCATTAATTTGACACTAAATGTTATATCATAATGGTCAATGTTGTACAAAGGTTTTGACAGGATATGTGTAACTTACATGTATGATTTATCCTGTCTATGTTCTGGACATGTGAATCTTCTCAAAATACACAACAGAATTATGTAATTAAACATATGCACATTATCTTTTCTATAATATTGCCACTTTATTTAAGTAATTCATAAGCTAAGGCAATAATTTCTATAAAAGCATATGACAAGTAAAACAAAAGTGGAATCAACATTTATTATTATCATTGATAATAATCATTTCTTTCCACACCCATGTTCACATGACTTTTTTTAATAAAACAACGAGTTTTTTTAAGTTTCTTCTATTTTTTTAGCGGGAGAGGAGGGGGTTTACCTTTAGTCATCAACAAACAATTTTTTTCCAATAACGTATATAGGAACAAGATATATTTTTTTAATCAATGTTGTTTTAATCTTCTTTTTTTTTCTTTTTCACAAAATTTAAGAGCTATATGTATGTCGACATGTATAATGACTTTATAAAATGATGGTACACGTTGATAAAAACACAAAAAGGTTCCCATTGCCTAACATTTTGATGTCGACCAATGTGTATTTTACACTGATTTAATTTTGATTATATCTACATTAGCTATATGAAATTTGCAGTGCAGTCGAAGCCTTTTTATTCATCGACGTATAGAACAGATAGTTATTACACAAGGGGCTCTTTTCACAAACAAAAATCCTGGTAGATCTTCTGTTTTTGTCTGAGAAAAAGATTGATGAAACCTTTCCAGATGTCAATTCTCTGAAAATGATTTCATATTATGGCTGACTGATAGAATTTGCGCTGATCGGACTTGCCTCATACATTTGTACATGAGGTCCAATCGACATGAAGTTTGGGACAACAAGAAAAAGCATTACCTTGAATCGATAGAATCTGTTGGCGTTGAGGAACGTATAATATCAGGTGGTCAAAATGATTTTTCATTGAAGTCTATAAACCTCCCATTATGCCCGACGAACTGTTCGTAACACATTTTAGCCACAGAGAAGAAAAACATATATATCTTAATATGGAAAAATATATTTTCATTTGAGATTTTGAATTTGATATGTTAAACAGGGATAAAAGTGCATTGATTTGTGATATCTTTGATGTTTTTGATATGAAAAAATGGTATCTAAAATATAACTTTTTTTACTAAGAAAGCTAAAGCAACACTTTCAGATTTAATTCTAATAAATCAAAAGTGTGATTTTAAACAATTTGTAACATTGGCACATGCATTATTGATGTACATATTGCATAACTGGGCAAATTGTGATTTACTTTAAAAAAGGGAACATATGTGAAAGTTTTAAAAAAATTTAACATGGGTAACATTATGCAAAATTTGGAACAGAAAAAAAAGAATTTTCCAACTGCAATGATGTAATTGTTCATTATGATGATTTGAGTTGCAATTTTATAAAGGTTGCAAATAAGCATGTACCTTTTTAAGAGAAGAAAATTTTACCGAAAAAAAGCATGATATGAACAGTAAGTTAAGAAAATAGATCAAAGACTCAAATGGCCGGGTTGCAAAGAATGTTTCTTAAACAATGTTGAATGTTCTTTCCTGAACATTTAAATATTTAAAAAAACGACTAAGTTCCCAGTCTGGAAAAATAAGAAAAAATCCTCAAACACTTCCATGATAGCAGGTACACAATTACAACATATGTGCAATCTTCCTGTGACGTTTCAGGGATCTGGGTTGAAACTGCAGGAGGAGTTGATTACAGAAAAATTGTACCCTCTTTCATAAATATTACTGAAAAATGACTATGTTCCCAAGTCTGAGCAAATGAGAAAAAAATCCTCAAACACTGCCATAATAGCATGTGCACAACTTCAACATATGTGCAATCTTAATGTGAAGTTTCATGGATCTGGGTTGAAAGCTGTAGGAGGTGTTGGTTACACAAATTAGGAACCTACTTTTCTCCGCATTCTGCCCGCCCAACATCACCATACTTCATCCAACCCGGCCAAAAAAGCCAATATAAAAGAAGTTGCATATATAAAGTAAGTACATTGTTTATTGTTGTGACATGTGTAAATCAACAGAAATATATATGTACAAAATATAATCCGACATACAAAATACCCCCGGCCCAATGGACCAATAAGTCATCTTTTACTTTCAATTCAAAATATAAATGGATGGATCCAAAAACTCCTTTGCCAGAGTCACAATGGTCCAACAAAAAGGGCTTACAGGTAGGATGTTTAAATCCAGAAGTTTAACTAAAAAACGTATTTCAATGGACCTTTTTAAAGTATTCGATTGCCATCCTCGTGATTTACTATTACTGAAATTAAAGACTAATGGGTTATTTAGTCATAATTTGAGACATTAACCGTATAAACAGAGAAAAATTGTGAAAATCGGTCAAAACCTGAGAAGTATGTTAGACATTTTTAAAAGGTTACCTCAAGGCTCCATACTTGGGCCCATACTTTTCAACATTTTCATAAATGGTTTACTATTTTATTCAAATAAATTCTTTCTGTATAATAATTCTGCATATGATTATACTTTGTCATAGTCTGGTAAATGTCTCCGTGCAGTCATTTCTTCACAGGAAGAAGAAGCTAGTCCTTAATTACATAATTCTGTGTTAATGGACCTTCGTTAATAAACAAAAATGCAAACCAAACCAGAGAAATTTCAAGGAATCTCTGATTTTAAAAGAACAATTGAAAACATAGAGCCGGTATATCTTTATCATATGAAAATGAAGTCAAACTATTCGGTATTACTATTAATTTCAAATCAAATACTTTATTAATTTCAAATATCGATCAGACCTTACTTTCAAATGAGGCTCGAGACATGACCTCATTTGCCAACTTTAAAAATTATATAAATAGCTGGTGTGGAGGAAATTATGTAAATGTATTGCATGCAAATTCTAACCAGTGATGCCTTGCAGCTTATTTGTTTCTTTCTACATACCACCTTAAAAGTTTTTAGTTTGAATCTTGTTTTTGCTTTCTTTCTGACTGAATTTCTGTGTAGCTAGCTATTATTGACATTTTTCTGAGCAATTTGATATTCATTTAGTGCTTTGATTTTTCTATTTACTGTATTGTTTGTGATCTGCTTATTGTATCTTGCATTTTAGTCTATGCCGTTATCTATGCTCTTGTGTAATTGTTTTTTTTTTATTATGCTGCATATTTTTATGTTTTGGCTTGTATATTGCTTGTGTTTATATATACAGACATTTTATGTAGTCGGTTTTAAGTGCTCCTTAGAGCTCCTGTTACTTTTTATTTTTGCATACATGTACCGAATCTGAATAAAATTTACTAATTTAC